GAAAGCGGAAGCGTTTGGTAACGCAGTTGATGTAGTCGAACGTCTTCGTGATCCAACCAATCCAAGTACCGAACATACGGCACCTCCGCGCTCAGCACACGTTCAGCTCGATGACGTCCCTCGAGCTCTTGATCCAGTTGAGGACGAGGGAGAGTTCCGTCAGCACGACGGCATGGTGACAATGATGATGAAGTTACCAGCGCAGGGCTTCGCCTAAGCACTATGACGATATGACCGAGGTGTGTAACTGTGGAGGAGGGCACCGCACACGGCTAAGAGAAGACTTGGTGTGCCTTTGGGGGTCCCCCCTCCCACGTATAGAAAGGAGGGGGGAGGAGGTGGCCGGACCAAGGGGCCTAGTCCTAGTAGGATTCCCTCTCCTTTTTTCCTTTTTCCGGAGAAGCAAAGAGGGACAAATAGAAGGAGTAGGAGAGGGGAAGGGGGGGCGCCACCCCCACCCCTTGCCAATTCGGATTGGCAAGGGGGGGCGTGCGCCACCTCCTTGGCCTGCCCTCTCTCCTCCACTAAGGCCCAAGTATGGCCCACTAACTTTCGGGGGGGTCCGGTAACCCCCGGTACTCCGAAACTCATCCGATACTTTCCGAAACCATTCCGGTCTCCGAATGTAACCTTCCAATATATGAATCTTTATGCCTCACCATTTCGTGACTCCTCGTCACGTCCGTGATCTCATCCGGGACTCTGAACAAACTTCGGTCATCAAATCACATAACTCATAATACGAATCGTCATCGAACGTTAAGCGTGCGGACCCTACGGGTTCGAGAACTATGTAGACATGACCGAGACACATCTCCGGTTAATAACCAATAGCGAAACCTGGATGATCATATTGGTTCCTACATATTCTACGAAGATCTTTATCGGTCAAACCGCATAACAACATATGTTGTTCCCTTTGTCATCGGTATGTTACTTGCCCAAGATCCGATCGTCGGTATCATCATACCTAGTTCAATCTCATTACCGGCAAGTCTCTTTACTCTTTTCGTATTGCATCATCCCACAACTAACTCATTAGTCACATTGCTTGCAAGGCTTATAGTGATGTGCATTACCGAGAGGGCCCAGAGATACCTCTCTGATACTCGGAGTGACAAATCCTAATCTTGATCTATGCCAACTCAACAAACACCTTCGAAGACACCTGTAGAGCATCTTTATAATCACCCAGTTACGTTGTGACGTTTGATAGCACACAAGGTGTTCCTCCGGTATTCGGGAGTTGCATAATCTCATAGTCTGAGGAACATGTATAAGTCATGAAGAAAGCAATAGCAATAAAACTAAATGATCATTTATGTTAAGCTAACGGATGGGTCTTGTCCATCACATCATTCTCTAATGATGTGATCCTGTTCATAAAATGACAACACATGTCTATGGTCAGGAAACATAACCATCTTTGATAAACAAGCTAGTCAAGTAGAGGCATACTAGGGACACTCTGTTTGTCTATGTATTCGCACATGTACTAAGTTTCCGGTTAATACAATTCTAACATGAATAATAAACATTTATGATGATATAAGGAAATATAAATAACAACTTTATTATTGCCTCTAGGGCATATTTCCTTCAGCAACACCACTATCGCGCGAAAACTAGCATTGCCCCTTGTTGCTAGGAACCCCGACGGGAGCCCTTGACGGGTTAGGTCTGGGCGCCACAAAATCTGGCCACCATCAACCGATGGGAAGCCAAAAGAGGAAACAGTAAGCACCTCCCCGTGAGCATGGAAGGGGGTTGCTAGCCAGATCTACTAGGACACCGTCCCTAAAGAGTAAGCATTGCACCTTCGTCTAAGCGACCACCAGAGCTGCCATTGAGGGATGAAGGTGTGGCCACTCATCGAAGACGCAGGGAGCCGCACAAGCGTTGGAGGCGCGAAGCTCCCCCACCGAGACAACATGCCACTTCATGAGAAGCTGCCCGATCATCACCGTCGGCCGCACGAGCTTAGGCTAATGGCATCTAGAGAAAGGAAGGAGGAGAGTGAGCTTGGGCTATGGCTACTTGATAATTCACAAGTGCAGGGGATCTATCATAGCCTTTTCGATAAGTAAGAGTGTCAAACCCAATGAGGAGCGGAAGGAATTGGTTGATGGAAACTAGGAATAGTTAATTGTAAAGCTCCAAAGAGAGTTTGATGGTTTGTTTGAAAGCAAGATTAATCGCAAGAAGGTAGACTGTCAAAAAAAAGTGCAATGGTGTAGCGAGAGTCCAATCCTTAATTGTGGCAAGGACAAGCCAATGGTTTTACTTATAGGAATCAAGTCATTCTCGAGGACATACAAGAGTTTCACCAAGTGGCTTTCATCAAGCTTCATTCAATCACCGCTCATTGCTTTTGATAATTTGTTGTGCGGTGGAATCTATGATAATGTATTGTTCTCACTTGAACAAACAACACACTTATGATTATACCCTCGATACAAGAATCCGCAAATACAAGATAATAATTAAGATAACATCTAACCATAACCATAAACTTTGGGATTCCAACAACCCATCATACAATAGTTCATAAACTAGGGTTTTGTAATTTCTGTCACTCCAGCCACCCATCCATGGACAAAGTAATCACAAAATGATCTCCTTTAGTCCTTAAAAGTGAAGTGATATGCAGTCGATGTTCACACATCACTACTAGATAATTACACCACAACATAATATCAAAGCACTGAACTTGATTCAACTTCTCAAGATTACTAGCATTAATGTTTATCCCATGCCCTCAAGAACATCACTGACTAATCACAACACATGGTTAAATATATGAATTACAATCTGAACAAATGAATTCGTTCACCAATAGAACTTCTAAGCATCAACTGCATGGAGGAATAAACTCCAGAAACTATACTCAGCAAAGTATCTGAGACAAAAATTTCACATTTCGGAAAGTCAGTGTTGAGGCAGTTGAAGGAGATGACGATGCTGATGAAGATGTTGATGGAGATGATGATCCAATGATGATCGAAGTGTTGGTGAAGACAATGTCTTCAAATTCATGAATCTTCGGCAGAATCAACCCGTCGGATGTCCAAAGTGGTCTGCCTCGTAGAGACGGCGGAAAAATCCCGCAAATTCCTTATTGTAGTTTTCGATCAGAGGAAAAATATAGGCGGTGGACATGGGCCCCCGTGCGGGCAGGGGCCCGCCTGGCCATGACGCTTGGGAGCCCTATGGCCCCCCTCTGGCCCACCTTCGGGATCCTGGCTTCTTCTCTTCCGAAAGATTTTCTGGAATTTTTCTTGGAATTTTTGGAGCTTCAGAAAAATTTCTTTTTCTTCTGGTACATTTTGTTTATAATTTCATGTTGTCCGGTATTTTTCCGAGAATTTGCGTGCAAATTGAAGAAAAAACACATTAGAACCGAGAAGTAATGTGTAAAAATATAATTGTTAACGAGTAAATTATAATAAGAAACAGTGATGCAAAATGAGTGCATCACAGCTAGGTCCGTCCAAGCCGCAATGAGAACAATGGGTCTTATCCCCTCTCAAGGTATTTGTGTTTGAAGCTGGGCATCGGCAATCGGGGTTGATGGAAGATGGCGGTGTTGGCGTTGGGGCTTTTCCGGCAACATGACGAGGTTGAGTGTTGTCGTAGACACGGCAGTGGTTTTGGTAGTCGAAGGCGTATATGTGGGACTGCCTCGGTTTGTTTGATGTTGTGAAGTCGAAGATCCGATGACGGAGTCGCGGTTGCGACGATGAACATTGACAGGTGGTCTTCCCTGGGGCCAGCCTTGAATAGTTCTTCATAGGTCTCCGCCAGAGCCGAGGCTATTTTGTTCTCTCCGTAGGTGGCTGAGTTCCGGCGCAGATCTTCGTTTGACCCGCGGTGTGGGCTGAGCGGTGAAGTGCATATCGCTTGCTCAGTCACGGATGGGGCCTGACTGCACTGCACGGAGATATTTTACAACAAATGCGTATCATGAATCGTGACGCACACTACAGATGAAAAAGAAATTACAGGAGAGAAACCGAGACACTAAATATAGCCGACATAGTGTACAGTTGGACACAGGTCGGCCGGAATGCCGATTTAAATGCGTCAGAGCCGCCGGATAGCCGGAGCGACGTACTTACTATGTGCCGCAAAACCACCCTTGAGCCTGCCTGCCCACCGGTTGCCACAGTACACTACAGAGACACCTTTGTCACACCTCACACGCTCTCGCGTTTCTTATCGCGCCCAAAAAAGCTCGTAACGCAAGCACTTTGGTTTGTCCCTTCATTTCCTCGAGACAAAAAACGGAAACAAAGCGTGACGCTATGGACGGACGCATCACGCGAGGCGGAACGCAGCCGCACATCGCGTTGGGCACACCCAACAACACAAGGACAAGGAGCAGCAGGAGCCTCGCTCGGTCACATGCCCGGCTCGCTCCAAAAGCAGCTTTGACGGCCATCCTAATCGCCCTCCATAGCGCATTTACACGTTACACTAGCCCGTTCCCGTGCCCGGACCCCAAACACAAACTGTACTGTACTGTATCTTGTAGGGTTGGGTCCTCGTAGGTCGTAGCAGCTATCATCGCTCACTCGGAGGCACGTACTCTGCCGTGTCACAACCACGTACGCAGCCCAGTCGCGTGATACACACACGAATGTACTGCTACCACTAGTAGTAGTAGCAGTACGTGCACTGACTCGGGATTTCACTTTGGCGCGAAAGAGAGAGGCACGGTGACCAACGGATTGTTTACCCGTCGTCCCGGGGTGAAAAAAGGGATCCAGCCGCTTCGATCGTCGCTGTCGGGTAGCGCGTCAGCTGACACGGCTGTTATAAGTAGGGAGCACCGTCCGCCAGCTACTAGTACCATCTCACCACCACCCTCCTCCCTCCCTCCCTCCCCCACTCCGCCCGCAAAGCTCCCTCGCCTCCTCCTTCACTGTGCCGCCCGTGCTTCCCCTCCGCTCCCCGCGCCGATCCAAAGCCCAGACCCTCGCCTTGATCCGCATCTCGCCATGTGCGGCGGAGCCATCCTCGCGGGCTTCATCCCGCCGTCGGCGGCCGCCGCGGCGGCCAAGGCGGCGGCAGCCAAGAAGCAGCAGCAGCAGCAGCAGCGCAGCGTGACGGCCGACTCGCTCTGGCCGGGCCTGCGGAAGAAGCCGGCCGAAGAGGAGGACTTCGAGGCCGACTTCCGCGACTTCGAGCGGGACTCCAACGACGACGACGACGCGGTCGAGGAGGTCCCCCCACCGCCGGCCACGGCGGGCTTCGCCTTCGCCGCCGCGGCCGAGGTCGCGCTCCCGGCTCCGACCCGCCTAGGTGAGACACGGCGACCACATTCAACTTGCCTTCCTCCTCTTCTCTTTCCCTTTATTTATTTACGAGGGCAAAAGATACCCCCGCCTGCTTTGCGTCGACGTTGAGGACAAAGATGTTCTACAGTATCTGCCCAACGAATCCACTTCCGATGGCAGGGCCTGGTACTAGATTTAATCTTTGGTATGAGGGATAAATTTCGCTTGTTTCTCCAAATCTGACTAATTCTAATGCGTGAGATCCTAGCCAGTGGGGATTTTGGTAGACAAACTCTGTCTTAGAACCTGCTATTTATTTTTAACACTGGAATGTTTTTGTTTTTGCGAGAAACCCTAAATTGTTTTAGGATAGTAAGCCAGTAAGGTGGGGGATTAATGAGCTTCGAATGTAGTTGAGTTTTTGTGGTTGTTGAGTGTATTTGTGCGTCTCCATAACTAATCATGGGGTTTGGTTTCGTAACCTTCAGACTTGTATTATGATTTTATTAGGATTAACCTATCTCTGGTGATGCTCTTATAACATGTCTTTCTATGGTAAAAAAAATCACTGTATTAATTTTTACATTTTCTTGTTAATTTTTCATTGATGTATTGCCATCTTGAGGTTTAGATGTATGCCTTATTGCCCTTCCAGGGATCCCGAAAATAATAATTTTGTACTACCTCATTTCAGTTTCTTCGATCCATAGAAATAAAAGAATCTTGTGACTTCAAATTCGCATCAGCTTAATTCTTTTCCTCCCGAGGAAACACATCAGCCTAATTCTGATGTAGATGAAAACACATCATAGATACTCCCTCCGTCCGAAAATACTTGTCTTCAAAATGGACAAAAAGGGATGCATGTAAAACTAAGATACATCTAGATACATATTCTTAACGAAAACTAATTCTGATGTAAATGAAAACATATTCTTAACGACATGCTATTTTTTATATATCATGGATATCATATTGCTGGATGATACTTCAAACATGATAGCCATAAGAAATGAAGAAAATTACTATCTATTGCTAATCGTAGACCAATCAATTATTTCTGTAAACTCAAAGATGTTGTTCCTAGTAGCATCTTGTCTGTTACTTATATATGTCCGCTATAGGCATGTCGTTCCCAAGGTTAATTGATATTTCTACACTATGCTCATACGTTTTGAGAGACAGTATGCTCATACTCTATGTCAGAAGGAAACACAATTCTGGTATCAACATTTTCATTACCGGTTAATGCTCTCCAATTTAACTTTCCAATATAACTATTTATCTTAGAGATGTATTTTGGAACTGGAAACTATTATTCCAATTCTAGTAAAAAAAAATTCTGTCTTTATATGGGACATAAGGAAGAATTTCAGGTCAAACATATGAATTCGTCTCTTGTACAACTAGAGTAAACATTGTACTGTTAGTATGGGTGCACTTGTTAGAAATAAGCAGATATCAGGGTACCGTAGAAATTCTGAATGATATTATTTTCGGCAACTCATTTGCTAACGCCAGTTTCCTATTCAAGTTATCTTGTTGGGATGTATTACTAAGTATAAAAACTTTATTGTAGATGCTATTCAACATGATGGACCTGCTGCCAAATCAGTGAAGCGCGTTCGGAAGAATCAGTACAGAGGGATCCGCCAGCGTCCCTGGGGGAAATGGGCAGCTGAAATCCGTGACCCTAGCAAGGGTGTCCGGGTTTGGCTCGGGACATACGACACTGCTGAGGAGGCAGCCAGGGCATATGACGCTGAAGCCCGCAAGATCCGTGGCAAGAAGGCCAAGGTCAATTTTCCTGAGGAGGCTCCAACTGTTCAGAAGTCCACCCTGAAGCCAACTGCTGTGAAATCAGCAAAGCTGGCTCCACCTCCGAAGACCTGCGAGGATGAGCCCTTCAATCACCTGAGCAGAGGAGACAATGATTTGTTCGCGATGTTTGCCTTCAATGACAAGAAGGTTTCTGCAAAGCCAGCTGAAAGTGTGGATTCCCTTCTTCCAGTGAAACCTCTTGTGCCCACTGAGACATTCGGGATGAACATGCTCTCTGACCAGAGCAGCAATTCATTTGGCTCCACTGACTTTGGGTGGGACGACGAGGCCATGACCCCAGACTACACATCCGTCTTCGTTCCGAATGCTGCTGCCATGCCGGCATACGGCGAGCCCGCTTACCTGCAAGGTGGAGCTCCAAAGAGAATGAGGAACAACTTTGGTGTAGCCGTGCTGCCTCAGGGAAATGGTGCACAAGACATCCCTGCTTTTGACCATGAGATGAAGTACTCGTTGCCTTATGTCGAGAGCAGCTCGGACGGATCGATGGACAGCCTTCTGCTGAATGGTGCGATGCAGGACGGGGCAAGCAGTGGGGATCTCTGGAGCCTTGATGAGCTCTTCATGGCGGCTGGTGGTTATTGATGGTTCTTGTCAGTGTGGTCTGCGGATAGCACAAATGTAAGCCATCCATACTGCATATGGTTTCGTTCTCTTCCATGATTTTCTTGCGCAAAATACAACTGTTGTTCTTAAATGGTCTTAACTTTGGGTTCATTGCCAGGTCCCTTGCATGTGGCCAAGATGAAGAAGTGGTGGTGCATGTGGCCAGGATGAAGGATAGGTTGCATCTGTTATGCTTGGTAGCGGATCAAACCCTAGCTATGCTAAAGACTGTATGCTGCTAGCAGTGGAACCGTATGTCATGTTTATAAGTATTTTGTTGTTGTATATCGCCTCTATGATTGGGTGCATGTTGGAGACTGGAGTTTAATAAATAAATACATTGGTCATATGCCTGATGTAATGTGCTTGTTGAGTACTCCTATATGATGATCGTGCTTATATTGTTAAGTACTATCTACAATGGCGTTTTGCTGAGTGCTTAGCTTTCGCTTTCTGTGAGACATCTGAAATCCAGAGAGATCTAAGACCAGATCAACAAGCTCACATATTAAATGGTTCTGTCTTAACTCAGCTGTTTGTTGAGAACGATTAGTGCCATGTTCCAGCATTAGGTTTTGATTGGTAGGCGGCCACACTTGTGGACGCAGATTAAATACTGCAGCTGACTGTATCTGGGACGAGTGCGACCTGAAAAACTGATTCTAAAGATGATCGTTTGCACACTGGATTTGGTCCCTGGTTTTGCTTTATTTATCATACTCTTTAGCGCTCCTGCAACCAACAATTAGCTTGCATCACCGTCTTTGATTTTCCTAGGGGAAAAGTCGGCACCAAGTTGCATATATAACTGTTAGCGCATCCTTTTCATCGTACATGCTTGGCGATGCAGCTTCTTTGCAAGTAGCAATAATTTTGGGGAAATGCAGGGCCCAGGCCGGGTCTAATTCATCTCCGATTATTTCCCCAAGATTTGCTTCCGCCACCGATCGAGAAATCTAGGGTGCAAATTGGCCAACTTGGATACTTGGATGTGCTGTCATGGAATCATGTATATGGATGGTCCTTGGAATTATTCATCATTGCCATGGTGAGTGTCAGTGACAGAGACCGCATGTCCAGTTCCATTGCATTTTAAGGCTCCCACACAAGTGGGTTCACACAAAGTCAAGCAAGCTTTTATTAACCTTGCATGATGAGCACAATAATTTGTGCCAAGTACCGCACCTTAAGGATTATATCTTGCAAGATTCAGGAGCTGGAACCCAGGGCAGGGCAGTTTCAGTTTCCTATCACTGTAATTTGAACCTAAGACAACGACAGGTATTACGGTACGGAGGGAGTAAGAGTTTAGATCCTGTTGAAATGTGAGATGGGCCTAGAGCCCATATGACAATTTCAGATTTGATCTCTAAGGACCCATGTAGGTGGCATGACAAGGTGGTGGGAAGTTTAATCCCACCATGCTAGTGGAAGGAAAGTTGGAGTGGTTTATAAGGGTTGCGGGTTGCGGGTTACGGGAATGAGCCGAGCCGAGCTCACACCTATGCGCTTATTTTTGCCGGTCACTAACGGAGAGATTCTGACAGCAGGGCCACGATCCCAGATGTCGGATCGTGGGCTGTCACGGACTCGGACGTGGGTCAAGCCCACGTATCTCCACGCGGCTGCGTCTATATAAGTGTGTTGTGTCCCCTAACCCTAGCCGCCACGATCAGAACACATCTGCTCCACGCGCATCGCCGACCGGCGTTCCTTTGCTGCTGCTGCCGCCGGTGCCTCCATCCCGTCCGCCGCGTACACGGTCGACGGGAGAGCAGGTCTACGAAACTCCGTCTCTCTGGTTCCTGTACGGGAGAGAGACGAATAGGTTTTTGAGAAGCGACTACGCGACTGCTCGCCTCCGATCCACTACTTCCTCTACGTCCGTGCCGTCTCCGTCATCACCATGTCCAGCGACGCCGAACGCGCCGCCGCCGAGAAGACCGAGGCCGACAAGAAGGCCGCCGAGGACGCATCTGTTGCTGCCACTGTGGCGGCGGCTTCTGCATGGCCTACTAGAGGGTATACCGCGTTTATCCCTCTCATGATAATTTCCGTATTAGCAGTGCTAGCATCATGTGTAGATTTGTCTACTATTTGCATAGTACGTGCTCATTTAGATCAGTACCAGTATGTTGTTAGTTCTGTCAATGCCATGCTAGTTATCTACTTATGGATTAAATTAGTCGAAAAATTGCCTATTTTCTTAGCAGATCCAAAAACCTATTATGTGTAGGAATTTTTCGGCAAGTGGCTTTGCCGCAGCACTGAAACCGGATAAGTTTATCGGTACGTATTTTAAGCGTTGGCAGACAAAGACCAGTTTATGGCTCACGGCTATGAACGTGTTCTGGGTCACCGGTGTGTCCACGGGAACGATTGCTCCTGAACAAGAGAAGGCTTTCAGGGAGGCAACCACTGTGTTTCTCAGAGCAGTTCTTAGCGTGATCGAAGATAAACTGGTCGACTCATATTTACATGTGCATGTCGCCAAGGACTTGTGGGAGGCGCTCGAATCTAAGTTTGGGGCCGCCGATGCAGGGAGCGAGATGTATATTATAGAGCAGTTCCACGATTACAAGATGGTTGAGAACCATCCTGTACTGGAGCAGGCTCATGAGATAATATGCATTGTTAAGGAGCTTGAGCTTCTGAAGTGCGAGTTACCGGGCAAGTTTGTCGCGGGCTGCATAATCGCTAAGCTCCCCAATTCCTGGAGGAACTTTGCCACCACTCTGAAACATCAGAGGCGTGAATTCTCCGTGGAGGATGTCATTGGCCATCTGAGTGTTGAGCAGAATTCGAGGGCAAAGGACTCGCACGAAAAAGGGGCCGAAGGGATTTCTGTTGCCAACATGGTGAACCAGAGGAACTTCAACTCCCACAAGTTCAAGGGAAAGAATGGTGTCCAACAGAATACCGACTTCAAGAAGAAGGGTAAGAAGACCTTCAAGAAGAACAAGAAGGATGAGGGCTGCTTTACTTGTGGTTCGGCTGAACATTGGGCCAACAAGTGCCCAAACAAGTTTAAGAAGTCAGGACAGGACTCCAAGTCTGTCAACATGATTGTGGGCAACAATGAGAATGGTGCATCTGGGTACGGTAATTTATTTACTGTTTTTTCAGTGTTTCAGCCTACCGATTGGTGGGTGGATACAGGTGCAGGTGTTCATGTGTGTGCTGACATTTCATTGTTCTCTTCTTACCAGGTCACAGGCCACGGGTCCGTATTGATGGGGAATGGCGCGAGTGCTTCTGTTCATGGTGTTGGCACGGTCGATCTGAAATTTACTTCGGGAAGGATCGTGCAGCTGAAGAACGTGCAGCATGTCCCCGCCATCAAGAAGAACCTCGTTAGTGGCTCCCTTCTATGTAGAGAAGGGTTTAAGTTGGTATTCGAGTCTAATAAATTAGTTGTTACTAAGTATGGACTATTTGTTGGAAAAGGTTATGAGAGCGGAGGGATGTTCCGCCTTTCCCTCGCGGATTTCTGTAATAAAGTCGTGAACCATATTCATTCGAGTGTTAATGAATCTGAGGTTTGGCATTCACGTCTTTGTCACATAAGTTTCGGTGTTATGACATGGCTAGCTAAGTTGGATTTAATCCCGAGTTTCACTTTAGCCAAAGGTTCTAAGTGCATGTCATGTGTGCAAGCTAAGCAACCTCGCCAGCCTCACAAGGCTGCGGAGGAGAGACACTTGGCACCATTAAAACTCATACATTCTGATCTTTGTGAGATGAACGGTGTATTGACTAAAGGTGGAAAGAAATACTTCATGACATTGATAGATGATTCCACTAGATATTGCTATGTGTATCTGTTAAATACTAAAGATGAGGCTCTACACTACTTTAAAATCTATAAGGCAGAAGTTGAGAATCAACTTGAAAAGAAAATTAAATGATTCCGTTCAGATCGTGGTGCAGAGTACTTCTCGAGTGAGTTTGATTCCTTCTGTGCGGAACACGACATTTATTCATGAGAGGATGCCTCCCTATTCACCCTAGTCAAACGGGGTTGCCGAGTGAAAAAACCGTACTCTAACTGATCTGGTTAACGCCATGTTAGATACGTCGGGTTTATCCAAGGCATGGTGGGGGGAGGCTATATTGACGGCATGTCATGTCCTGAATAAAGTTACGATAAAGGATAATGAGATCACTCCGTATGAGAGATGGGCAAAGAGAAGGACAACACTCTCGTACTTGCGTACTTGGGGCTGTTTGGCGAAAGTCAACGTGCCGATCCCCAAAAAGCGTAAGCTTGGACCCAAGACTGTGGACTGCGTTAATTTGGGCTACACTAAGAACAGCGTTGGCTATAGATTTCTAATAGTGAAATCTGAGTTACCTGACCAGAAGGTCGGTACAATCATAGAGTCTAAGGATGCTACATTCTTTGAGGATATTTTTTCTATGAGAGATATGCAAAGCACTTCTAGACAGGAATCTGAGGAGACTCCTGAGCCTGCCATTCCTATGGAATATTATGAACGAACACATGATGAAAATCCAGAGGAGGATGACGAGGAAACCCTTGGTAGGGGCAAGATACAAAGGACTGCAAAGACCTTTGGTGATGATTTCTTCATGTACCTCGTGGATGATACTCCCACTTCTATCTCAGAAGCGTATGCCTCTCTAGAAGCTGACTACTGGAAGGATTCGGTCCGTAGCGAGATGGATTCCATCATGGCTAATGGGACATGGGAGATCACTGAGCGTCCCTATGGTTGCAAACCATTGGGATGTAAGTGGGTGTTCAAGAAAAAGCTTAGGCCCGATGGTACGATTGAAAAGTACAAGGCCAGGCTTGTGGCCAAGGGCTATGACCAGAAAGAAGAGGAAGATTTCTTCGATACTTATTCACCTGTGGGTAGACTGACCACCATTCGAGTATTACTCTCGTTGGCGGCCTCACATGGTCTTCTCGTCCATCAAATGGATGTTAAGACGGCTTTTCTGAATGGAGAGTT